CTCTGCAACTCCCTGGCTTTGATTGTGACTTTGGTGACGGGGAAGATCCTGGGAGAGGACATTGGTGGGAAAAGTGAGTCCCACATCAAACATTTCCTAAAAAAAAAAGCTTTTATTTGATATTTATGATTTATTTTTATTTTATTTATAATCTGAGCTCTGGGCTGAAGGTTTGAACTGGGTCACAGCAGCTTTTGAAAGGGAATTGAAGCAGATTTTTGGGCAAGTGGTAAATTTAAAGATAAAATTTGGATTATTTAAGTGAAAAGAATTTAAAATATTGAATTTTTACCTCAGGAGGTGAGGGAAAAACTGAATAAAATGAAAAAAGAGTGACCCAGATGTCACCCCCAACATTTTTCCTTCTCTCCTGCCCTGCTCAGATGCTTAAAAAAAGCAGAAAAATGGGAATTTAAAAAATTTTGGGAAATTTTAAAAACTGAGGTTGTTTGGAGGTGAATTCCTGATTTGTGAATCCCACAGGAGCCGTGGCAGGAATGCTGCTCACCATCCTGGGAGTGTCCCTGTGYGTGGCTGCGTCCTGAAGGGAACAGGAGCCCAAAAATCCTCATCCCGAGGGGAGAGATATTCTGGGATGGATTTGGGATGGTTGGGATCTGGGATGGATTTAGGATGGGTTTGATTTGGGATGGGTTTGGGATGGATTTCGGATGGATTTGATTTGGGATGGGTTTGGGATGGATTTAGGATGGGTTTGGGATGGACTTAGGATGGGTTTAGGATGGGTTTGGGATAGATTTAGGATGGATTTGATTTGGGATGGGTTTGGGATGGATTTAGGATGCGTTTGGGATGGATTTGAGATGGATTTGGGATGGGTTTAGAAAGGATTTCCAATGGATTTAGGATGGATTTGAGATGGGTTTAGGATGAATTTAGGATGGATTTGGGATGGATTTGGGATCTGGGATGGATTTGGGATGGATTTGGGATGGATTTGGGATGGATCCAAAACNTTTGGGATGGGTTTGGGATGGATCCAAAACCAGGAATTGCCTTCCCTGAGCACCAGGGTGGGACCAGGCCCACGGTGAGGGCAGCCAGTTTTGGGTTTTTAGGGATTTTTAGTGGCTGTTTTAAGCCAAAAATTACTAAATTATCTTGTGTTTCAAACCAAAAATTAATGAATTGTTTTGTGTTTAAAGCCAAAAAATAATAAATTATTTTGTGTTTTAAGTAAAAAAAATTGTCTTGTGTTTCAAGCCAAAAGTTATTAAATTGTTTTGTGTTTCAAGCCATAAAAAGGATTAAATTGTCTTGTGCAGTACTGGAGGGATAATAAATAAAGAAATTATAATAAATCATCCAGTGGCAACTGCTGGATTTTTGATTAGAAGGATTTTTTATTAGAAGGGATTTTTGATTAGATAAATTTTTGATTAGAAGGGATTTTTGTTTAGATAAATTTTTGATTAGAAGGGGTTTTTGCTTAGATAATTTTTGAGTAGAAAGATTTTTTATTAGAATTATTTTTGATTAGAAAGATTTTTGATTAGAAGAGATTTTTGATCAGATAGATTTTTAATTAGAATGAATTTTTACCATTATTATTGCCAGTCAGAGGGACCAGGACACACCAAAAACCTTTTCATGAKAAATAACTGACACAGAACAAATCCTGACAAACATTTGGTTCTAAAACATCAATTCTTGGGAATTTCCTCCTTTCCCAGAGGAAACACTTCCAAATTCTAATTCAGCTGAATCAGAGCTTGAAAAAACAGCATTTCCTCTGGGAAAAAGGAGGAAAATCTGAATTATTTTATGATTTATTATGGTGATCCCATTTCCCAGGCCTGGAAATCCAAAAAATCCTGTCCAGTCCTGGAAAAATCCACTGAGMATTGAACAAAAAAACAAAGCAGAGCAGGGATTTGGGAGAAATCAGGAAAGCAGCAGCARGTTCGGCATCAGGAGAAGATTTTTATTMATAAAAARTAAAAATAATTCTGGAATCTGCCCKSGGGGAGGGAGCAGCGATGTCCCTGAGCTGGAGGTGACAAAGCACCGGGTCCATTCTCGCTGCCAACCCCAGAGAATCACCCCAAAGTGCAGGGGAGGGGCCATCGGTGC